AGGTCCTTCCGCTTGGGAGGCAGGTGGCGGAACCACTGAGCTAAATCCCCAGTGTATGTTTTCCATTTTTATCTTGTCAGAGTTCATATGGTTCCCCCAACCAACCCACTACATAATTTCATTTAAGTTCACAAATGGTATAAAGCTAAATTGTTAATAATACCCTCTATTTAATCTCTGTAGCAGCTATAGGTATGTCCCCTTTTCTATCCCTAAAATTGCTTACTGGTAACTTCTTTTATTTTTTCCTTTTAATAATCTTTCAAGAAGGTTATCAGCCTTTTGAAAACCAAATTTTGGTTTACTTGATTTTCTCTATTGTAGGCTTTCTATGTTCCTAATATCTGCTCCTATTTATTTCTTCCTACTTTCTGTGGGTTTATTAGGTTGCTATTTCTTCAATTTATGGTTAGATGCTCAACTCATTCTTCATAAAATTCTTTTAAATATAAATATTTAAAATTCTTCTAGCCAGGTATGGTGACAGATGCTTGTAATCCCAGCACTTGGGAGGCTGAGGCAGAAGGATCACTAAGAGTTCACAGCCAATCAGGGCTACATAGTTCGAGCCTACTCTGAACTACATAGTGAAACCCTTTTTCAAAAAAACAAAACAGTCTCTTCTAAGTACTACTTTAGCTGCATCCCTCAAATTGTGATAAAACAGAATTTTGGCATTTTATGCTTTGAATACTTTATACTTTTTTTGTGGCCCTGGGGATTGAATCCAGAGCCTTTGCTCTGAGCTACATCTCAACCCTAGACTTGGCTCAAACTTGCAGTAGTCCTGCCTCAGCCTCCCAGAGTGCTGGGATTACAGGTGTGCCCCATCCCACCTGGCTCTTTATTTCTAATTTTACTATTAAGTTGTTTAAGGGGATATTCTAAATTTCTAAACATATGGTGTTCTTATAATTAGATTTCTTTCAATTTCTAATTTAATTGTTATTGTGTTGTAGTGTGTGGTTTACAGGTATCTGATACCAGGCCTTTACAATATTTTTAGGCTTCCTTTAAAGACTAGTATGTGGTCAGTTTTCATGAATGTGCTATTTGTTCTTATAAAGAATATACATTTGAACTTTTTTGGGGGTACAGGGATCGAACTCGAACTTGGGTCATTGAGCTTGCAAGGCAAGGCAGGCAGCGGAACCACTGAGCTAAATCCCCAGCCCCTTTTTTTTTGTCCTGAAGATTGAACTCAGGACCTTGCGCTTGCCAGGCAGGCGTGGCACCACTGCGCTCAGACTGGCCTTAAACTCACTATGAAGTCCAGGCTGGCCTTGAACTTGTGGCAATCCTCCTGCTGGGATTGCAGGCATGCACCACCATGCCCAGCTCATGTATGTACATTTTATCAGCTTTGCCAATTGTATTTTTCACATCTCCTATACATTTATTATTTTATTTCCTAGTTTATCAATCACTGTAACAGATAATAAAATCTCCTACTCTGACTTAAGAGTTGCTAGTTTTTCCCAGTGGCCCTGTCTATTTTTCTTTATATTTGCTGCTTTTTATGGTGCACATGAATTTAGAATTGTTATACCTTTTTGGTTAATTAGCTATTTTATTAATTTATAATGACCTTTTTCTGTTGTAATGCTATTTAAAAATCTATTTTGCTTATACTAATCCAACAATAGCAGTTATTTTGTAGTTAATATTTGCATAGCATTTCTTTTCCACACTTTGATGGAAACTATATATCTTTATATTTTATGTACTATATATAGGCTGGTCTTATTTTTATCCAGTTTGATATTACTTGTATTTTATCTGGAGAGTTTTCTCTATTGTCTTTCTTTCTTGTTAGCTTTTTTGAGACAGGGTCTTGCTGTATAGCTCAGGCTGGCCTTCAACTCGAAGTGATCCTCCTGCCTCAGCATTCTGAATGCTGGGATTAATTTTGCCCATTTTTATTTAATCTAATTCTGATATATTTTTAGCATCACTTATTTTATATTTTCCCTTTTTTACTTTATTTTTTTATTTTTTACTTTTTAAATTTTTATTTCTCCTTTAACTTTCTCATTTTGAGGACTTTTGTTCCTCTATTTTTCTCTTTATTTACATAGAAAGTATGATTTATTTTTCATCATTTGGTAGCCACTCTATTTCAACATGAATACTTCACAAAGTGCAAAGTTAAACTTTTTCCTTCTTGACATACAATAAAGTTCAAGTGACTTAGAAAGTTTTAAGTCCAATCACTTCTTTCCCTGGTTATTACTACCCCCCATTAGGCAATTAGGCATCCAAAAAACTTTATCCCTATTTTTAATGTTTAAATTTACCCATATATTTCCCAGTGTCTTAACATATCAATCCTTGTTGCATTTCAGATATTTAATTTGTGATCATTTTCCTTTACCTAAAGTAGTACATTCATTAGAATGTCCTTAAATTGAAGGTTTGTTATTAACCAATTGCATCAGATTTTGTTTGAAACTTTCATTTTACTTGGGTTCTTATAAAATATTTTGAGTGGGTATAGAATTCTAGGTTGACAGCTACTCTCTTTAAGCACAGGAGATAATGTTACTCAGTTTGTGTTTTTGCTAATGAGAATTCTGATACTGGATGGGCTGAGACTGTAGCTCAGTGACAGAGCACTTACTGGCCTGAGTTTCCATCCCAGGCATGGGGAGGGGAGGTGGAATCCCGGCACCCCTTGCTCTGGTGGTCAGCTTTCCATAACTGGAACAGGTACTGAGATGATGAACTTATGAGGAGAAAAGGTCTTTTTTTTTTTTTTTTTTCCTTTTTTGGTACCAGAGATTGAACTCCGGACCTTGTACTTGCGGGGCAAGCGGCGGAACCACTGAGCTAAATCCCCAGCCCTTGAGAAAAAGGTATATTTTGGCTCACAGGTTGTAGGTTTCTGTCCATGATTGATTGGGCCTGCTGTTTTGGCCCTGTGGTGAAGAAACAAATCACAGTGGAAAACTGCTCACGTTGTAGCCAGGAAGTGAGAGACTGCGGTCGGACAGTCTCCTTCAAGGCCACTCCGCAGAGACTGGAAACCTCCCACTAGGCCCTGCCTCCTACAGTTCCCACCACCTCTCCTTATACCATAGCACCAAGCTGGGAACTAAGTCTTCGATATCAGGTAGAGTGGTGGCCATTCATTTGATGATCTCTTTTCTCTGGCTGTTTTTGTTTGTTTGTTTTTGGTAGCAGGGATCTAACTTGGGTCCTTGCGCTTGCGCAGCAGGCGGCGAAACCACTGAGCTAAATTTCCTGCCCTTCTCTGGCTGTTTTTAAGACTCTTTTCTTTAATCTTTACTCTTCAGTTTTACTCTGATGTGTCTAGGTATGGGTTATTTATTTATCCCATAGAATCAGTATTGTCAGAATTGATGACTTTCAAACATTTTATAAAATTCTCAGCTTTCATCACTTCAGATATTACCTCTTCCCCATTCTAATTTGGCCTAATATAGTTCTTATTAGACTTAGTTCTTTTTCTTTCTCCATGTCTCTTTGCTTCTTTTAAAATACATTTCATCTTTCTGACCTGTGTTTCTGATGGATCAGTTCACTTATTCTCTTTACAGGAAGACCTTGGTGGGAGTGGTTTCAGGAGAATGAGAGGTTCTAATCTAACATGGATCCCTCAGTCAGACATGAGTGGAAATTTTCTTGATATTAAGAAAAAAGGAGAAAGAAGGGAAAGAAGGAGAGTGAGAGGAAGGAAAGAAGAGTGCAGGAAAAGAGAAAGGAGGGAAGGAGAGAAGGGGAGGGAAGGAGAGATCTGGTAGTAAAGATACTATTTTTAAAATTTAGCTAAATTTAAAGATACAGCAATGAAAAAAAGCTAATCTAAGAATGTTATTTATGCATCATATAGCTTTAGAATTCTTAAACTATTTTATTTTGCTTTTTAAAATTTTTAGTTCCTTAAAAGTGCTATTTTAAAATTAACTATTTTAAACTATACTGTAGATTATAAGAAATCACACTATTATATGGAGATTTGTCTTCTAAAGGCTTTTGTTGGGGGGTAGGTATGGTACTGGGGATCAGACTCAGGGCCTTGCACATGCTAGGCAAAGGCTCTTCCATGAAGCTATTTCTTTTTCCCATTTTTTTTTTAATTTAAGTACAATTAGGATTCTATTTTTTTCATCATAAATGTCAGAATACACTATGTTTTTGGCTTCTTTAGAGATTTTCAAATTCTGAATTATCATTTTGACTAATCCTTAGATTCTAGACTTAAACACCTAGTACTGTGCCTTGCATATAGTAGGCGCTCAAAAAAACATGTTCAAGCTGGGCATGGTGCTGCACTCCTGTGATCCCAGTACTCAGGAGGCTGAGGCAGGAGAACCACCAAGAGTTTGAGGCCAACCAGGGCTATCTAATGAGTTTGAGGTCAGCCTGAACTGTATAGCAAGACCCTATCTCAAAAAAAAAAAAAATCAGTGAACAAAGGTACTGATATATTTCTCTTTATTATATTTTTTAAAACTTTTCTTCCTTAATTTCTTCACCCAAAATATATTGCCCTTTTTTGATGTTCCTTTTCTTCCTGGTCTTGTTTGTTTTGATTTTTTGAGACAGGGTCTCTGTATGTATTTCAGGCTGGCTTTGAACTCTCTCTGTGCTCACAGTGGCCTCAAACTCATGGCACTCCTTGCCTCAGCCTCCTGCATCCCACCATGCCTAGCTTTTTCCTGGCTTTATAACCATTAATATTCTCCTCTAAATCTTGTTTTGCTATTTTTCCCTTACTCAAAATTCCTTTTGAAAGTTTAACTGTTCTGGTCTTTTTCATGAGACTCCTATACTTGCCATTTTATATCCTAAACCTTTATTGTTTTCCCATTTTCTCTTAGAAAATCTTTCTATCTCTTTTGATCTGTCTTATTTTATAATGAAAAATAATCTTTGAGTCTGATTTCTAGTATTTTGATTGCAGTTTTTCTAAACCTGAGGAACTAATTGTCACTATATAATTGGTAAGCATAATTCTATGTTTTCTGTATTTTTAGTCTATTGAAGATAATGAAGTATATTTGCCTAATGATGAAATTTGGACCTATGATATTGATAGCGGGTTGTGGTAAGTAATTTCAAGTTGCAGAATGTCCAATCTTAATGTCTTATAAGTGTTTTCATAGGCAGCAGGGAGTTTGAGACCCTGCTGAAAATGTACTGAAAATTTATAAAGTCTCCTCTCCTTTTCTTTGAATGTTTTATTCTGTGTCTCTTTCCCTTCCTTCTCCATTCTGTTTTTTCAATTTTCTAATTTTATCAAGACAGAGTCTCTGTGTAGCCCAGGCTGGCCTCGAACTCCTGATAATCCTCCTGCCTGAGCCTCCCAAATGCTAGAATTACAGACGTGTGCTACCATGCCCAGCTCTCCCTCCATTCTTTGTCCTTTACTAATCTGTCTGGACCAGTGCTTTGAAGACGTTATTTTATTCTACTGATTCCTAGTTCTATTGACCATGTGTGAAAATTATGATTGTTTCCCCTAGCAAGTTTAAGTCTTTTCTCGGGATCCTCTTAGAGTTTTTACAGTGTTGCCTGCCATGATTTCTGACTTGTATCTGGCTGTGACAGCTGAGAATGAAGGGACGTGTATGGTTCTTGCTGCAGGCAGATGCACCTGATGGAAGGAGATCTCCCCACCTCCATGTCGGGAAGCTGTGGCGCCTGCGTTCACGGGAAGCTGTACGTGTTTGGAGGCTATGATGACAAAGGATACAGCAACCGAGTAATACTTTCTTTTATTTCAGGAGTGCAACAAAATGCAATATTAATGTATCACTTCAATTTTCAACTTTACAAATAGTTTTTAAAGAAGATAAGTGTGGGAAATGCTGTTTATAATTAGCAAGTTTTAAAGATAGATGGAAAATAAAAGAAAAAACAACAAAAAAATACAGATGGAAAATGATGGGACCGGGGATCTAACTCAGTGGTTCCACCGCCTGCCTTGCAAGCACAAGGTCCAGAGTTCGATCCCTGGTACAAAAAAAAAAAAAATGCTTCAGATGGAAAATGACCAGTATTGCTCTCCTTCCATGTCTTCTGCTTTGGAATTAGCTACATAGTTGGTATTCGTAGGGAAAGAGCATTATTGGAAAAACCCACTCAGCATGTCTTCAGTAGCATTTTTGCTTCTAAAACAGTCTAGTTTTCATTAATTCTGTAAGTTTAAATTTCTAGTAGGTGAAAATTTTACCTATTAAAAATAAAAAGTAATTTGTGGATTTTTGGATTACAAATAATTTGGATTACAAATAATAATTTTTGAATTACAAATCCCCCTGATGTAAATTTAATTTTCAAATGCGCTGTCTGCTAATAATATTCTCATTTTTTAAAAGCTTTATTTTGTTAATTTACGAACAAAAGATGGAACCTATGTTTGGGAAAAAATCACCAACTTTGAAGGACAACCACCCACCCCTCGTGATAAACTTTCCTGCTGGGTATATAAAGACAGGTAATGCGGCAACCACACCATGACTGCATTTAAGTAAGGTACAGCTTTTCACCAAAATAGAAGAAACATGAAAGTATGAATTTTTTCCATGGTATTATTATGGGGTTTTTTGCGGGGGGTTACTTGGCTATTATGCTGAGGAATATCCCCAGCCTTTTTTAAAATTTTGAGACAGGGTCTCACTAAATCACTAAGTTGTCCACATTAGACTCGAACCTGTGATCATCCTGCCCAAGCCACCCAGAGTCCTGGGATTCCAGTACTGTCACAGAGCCTGACTACAGATGTATTTTGTTATTTAAAAAATTTTTTAATTTTTATTTATTTTTTGGTACTAGGGAATCGAACTCCGAACCTTGTGATTGCAAGGCAGGCAGCGGAACCACTGAGTTAAATCCCCAGCCCTACACATGTATTTTGATGTCAATGGAAACAGCAGTTCTAAAGATGGATAAGAACCATATCATACCTAAAATGTACCAATAAAAAAATTTTTAAAAAAAAGAGAACCATGTCATAAAAGTGAACATGGTAGAAGCACTTATTTGGGGTTTTCACATATTTTATTATTTAACCTAATTTTTGACTTGTTAATACATTCATTCTACAATTGAATACATTCATTCATTCATTCTACAGTTCTACAATTGAAGTCATATTAATAGTATATAGTGAAAGTCTATTATTCATTTCTTTTTACATCTACTGTATCTTCTCTATGTACCAAAAAGATTTTTATTGATATTTTTATATTGTTATGGTTCCCATACTTGTCTGTCATTGGAATCATCTGGACATCTTTTTTTATTCCTTCTTTAGCTGAGTTCTTTTAAAAATTCCATAGCCAAGGTGATAGCCCAGACCAGTGAAGTCTCTGGGAGTAAGGGTTTTTGAAGATTCTCAAATGACTCCAAGGTGCAGACAAGTTTGGGAGCCACTGGCATTAGTATTGCTTTTTGCAGAAAGAAGCAATTACATGTGTGTGTGTGTGTGTGTGTGTGTGTGTGTGTACATATATTCCTTCTCCTCTCTCCTCCTCAAACAGTTATCAGTGAACTGTTTACCCTGCTCTGTACCCACTGCTTATTTTAGTGAGAAAGGTTGTTACTGTTTTTTTAAACAACTGTATGGTATTCCCTGGTGTGGGTTCAGGTACTTATCCAAGCAGATTTCCCAAGGTGAGTTTTCAATACTGGCTTTATAGCAGACAGGCAAGAGTTCCAGGAGGTCTCGTGACTCTGTGGTCACTGCAGCGGATCTGCACTATCCGGGCAGGATGTGGGCGGTGGCACCAGCCAAGTGGGCTGTATCACGCTGTCCCAGAGGGAGGTGTCCCAGGAGGCAGTGGATACGGCAGCTATCTGTGTCCTCCACGCTGGGGACTGGGAGGGGCTGCAGACCTGGAGTCAGTGCCAAGAGGACAGCCCTCTTCTCGCAGGAGAAAGTCCTGCTCCTGTTCAAGATGAGCGTTGAGGCAACATAAATTTTAAGAATTTACTACAGAAGAGTAATTGTCAATATACTTCTTGGTTAGGCTGTTTTTTCTTTTGGTCACATCAACTTAGAAGAAGCATTCTAGAGGTTAGGTTGGTGTAGAGGTAGGATTGATCTCTGTCTCTGAGTTTTGCCTAGGCCTGCGTAAAAGGAGGGTCTCTGTTGACATTTGTGGCACTGACATCGATTTCTGTGAGCCCCTAGTGTTTTCAGCTTTTGTTTGGCCAGGACTCACTCTACCCTGCAAAGTACTTTTGGCCCTTCAGACTTTTACTTGGTGTTAAAAGATGTGATAAAATATATAAAACGTAAAGTTTTCCATTTTAACCATATTTAAATGTACAATTCAGTGGTATTAATTATTTACAGTGTCATGCAATTATCACTATAATAGAGTTCTGAAACTTTTTCATTACTCTAAACTTGGGCTGTGTAGTACCTATTAAGCAATATCTCCCTGTTTTTCCTTCATCCAACCCCCGGTAGCCTCTAATCTCCTTTCTGTGAATTTGTCTCATACAGACATTTCATGTACATAGAACCGTATAATATTGATTCCTTTGCATTTGGCTTATTGCACTGAATGTAATGTTTTCCGAGCTTACCATGTTGTAGTTTCAGAATGTCTTTCCATGGTCAAATAACATTTCATCACACACACATACACAAACATACACTATGTTTTTTGTCCATTTATCAATTGATGGACATGGTTATTTTCACCTTTGGCTAAAACAGTACTTGTTGACTATAATCCTTCAATGAATGTTGACATACAAGTACTGTTTTAGTTCCTATTTTCAGTGATTTGGGTTATACACCTAAGTAGAATTATGGGCCATATGGCAGTTGTGTATGTAAGGTTCTGTTGTCGTTGTTTGGCAATGCTAGGAATTGAACCCATGCTAGACAAGCACTCTTAATCACTGATCTACTTCCCCTTTTATATATTAAATTAATTCAGGGTCTTACTAAGTTGCCCAGGTTCACCTCAAACTTGTAGTCCTCTTGCCTCATCTTCCCCAGTAGCTGGGATTACAGGCATCTGCCACTGCGCTCAAATCTAAGTTTTGTATTATTTTTTTTTCGGTACCGGGGATCGAACTCTGGTCCTTGCGCTTGCAAGGCAGGCGGCGGAACCACTGAGCTAAATCCCCAGCCCAACTTTTTAAGTTTTTGAGGAACTACCAAACTTTTCCATGGTGACTATACATTTTACCTTATCAATGGCAATGTGCAAGGTCCCAGTTTCTCCACATCCTCACCAATGCTGGCTACTTTCTAGTTTGCTTTTGTTTTTAATAGTAGCTACTCTAGTGGGCATTAACTGGTATCTTATGGTTTTGATTTATATTTCCATAATGAACAATGATATAGACCATCTTTTCATGTGCTTATTGGCCATTTTTAAAATCTTTTTTGGAGAAATCTCTATTAAATTCCTTTTCCCATTTTAAAAATTGGATTGTCCTTCATTGTTGAGTTGCAAGCATTCTTTATATATGCTGGATATTAATCCTTTATCAGATACATACAGTTTTCCTTTGTTGCAATATCTTTGTCTGGTCTTAGAATTGGGGCAATGCTGACCTTATAAAATGAATTCAGAAGTATTGTGTCATCTTCAGTTTTAAAAATAGTTTCAAAAGGGTTAGTGTTACTCCTGTTTATGTTTGATAGTTTTGTTTTTGGTACTGGGGATTGAACTCAGGACCTTGTGCTTTCGAGGCAGGCGGTGGAACCACTGAGCTAAATCCCTGGCCCCTGTTTGATAGTTATGGGGTATGATGGCACACACTTGTAATCCCAGCACTCAAGAGGCTGAAGCAGAAGGATCAGGGAGAGTTCCAGCCCAGGCTGAACTGCACAGTGAGACCCTGTCTCAAAACCCCTCCCAAAAAATACATGAATGAATGAATGAATATTTGGCAGAATTCACCAGTGAAGCCACCTAATCCTGGGATTTTACTTTGGGGGAGGATTTTTATTATTGATTCAGTCTCTTAACATGTTATGTCTACTTGATTTTTTGTTTCTGTAGGCTTTTTTTTTTTAAATCTCATTATGTAGCCCAGACTGCCTTCCAACTTGAGATTCTCCTGCCTCAGCCTCCTGAGCGCTAGGATTACAGATGTGTATCACCACTCCCACTGTAGTATGAATCTTCCTAGGATTTTTGTTATTGTTGTCATCATTGTTTTCTTTTTGAGACAAGGTTTCATTATGTAGTTCAGGCTACTCGTGAACTCACTATGTAGCCCAGGCTGAGCCTCAAACTCCTAACAATCTTCCTACTTCAGCCTTCCAGGTACTGGAATTAGAGTTGTGTGCCACCATGCCAGCCTTCCAAGGAATTTTAAAAACTCCACCTAGATTATCTAATTGTTGACATACTGTTTATCATAGTATTATTTTCTTTTTTTTTTTCCTGTACTGTCAGTAGTAATGATCACTTTTTTTTTTTTTTTTTTTTTGGTGATGCTGGGGATGGAACCTAGGGCCTTGTGCATGCTAGGCAAACTCTACCCCTGAGCTACATCCACAGACCTTCTTTACATTTTTTCCTAGTCAGTCTGAGAATTTATCAATTTTGCTGATCTTTTCAAAGAAACAACTTTTATTTTCGTTGTTTTTCTTGATTGTTTTCCTCTTCACTGTTTATCTCCCTTCCAATCTTTATCACTTCCTTCCTTCTGCTCTCTATGGGTTTAATTTGCTATTTTCTTTCTAGTTCCTTAGTGGGTACTGTTATGTTATTGATTTTTTTAAAGTGTAGGAATTTACAGCTGTAAATTTCTGTCTGAGGCTTGCCTTTGCTGTGTCCCATTAGTTTTGTCCTATGTGTTCATTTCATTCATTTTAAGGTAGTTTCTAATTTCCCTTGTGATTTCTTTTTTGACTAATTAGGTACTTCTTTGACTAACTAGGACCTTTATTTGTTTTGTTATTCCTGGCAAGGTACCCACTCTAGTCACTATGCAAATGAGGATATAAATGCACTCATTTCTAATTGGTTGATTTTAAACTTGACTGTAGGTTGCAGTTATTGATCAGGTCCAGGTGGCAAAATGGGACTTTTGGCAGTTGAACAGGAACGTGCCTGAACAGGGCCCTCGAAGTTCAGTTTGTGGTTCCTCTGGGAACCCAGAGTGTGTGACCCCCAGTCAGCAAATGGCTACCAGACTCTATTTTCCATTAGCAACCTGGGACCTTTTTTGGAGATTCAGCTTTTCTTAAAATTCAGTTATTTCAAAAGACCTTTTCTAATAATTGTATAATCTGGGCCATCTCTGAGTCTGTTTATGTTAACTCTTTCCTCTCTTGATCATCAACCACCTTTTTTTTTTTTTTTTACGTTTTCATGTGTCTTGTAATTTTTCATTATATGCCAGACATTCTGTATAAAAGGACAGTAGAGGCTGGAATTAATTTTATTTATCTCTGGCAAGTGACATGCTATTCTTTTTTTTCAGGCTTCTGGAAAGGGAGATGAATCAGGTTTATCTGTAGTTGATCTATGCGTGGACTTGGTGGCAGCTTCAGTTTGATTCTGTTTTACCATGGGCTTCAAATATTTTGAGGCAGGACTTTCACTAGGACCCTGCATTTGAGCACTGAAGATTTTCAGCTGTGTTTTGCACCTGAAGAACTGCTCAGAACTGAGAGATCTGTTTTATAGCCACTTGGGAGGACTTTGGGCCACTAGGAAGTTCTCTTTGCTCTTCAGTCTCTATGCTTTTGGAGATCTCTTTCAGTCTTGCATCTCTTCCTCTGCTCTTTGGTATAGAGGCCTGGCATGCCTCTCAGGTGTTTCTTCAACTCTCCTGTCCTGATCTCAAACTTTACTTTTTTTGGGTTTTTTGGTACCGGGAATCAAACTCATCAAACTTTAGTATTTTTAACACTCACATTGCTTTAATGAAGTTTGTCCAGCTGTCTATCCCCTGCTTCCAGCTTTTTTTTTTTTCCTGTGGTGCTCGGGCTGGGGATCAGATTCAAGGTGTCTCACACATGCTAAGCAAGTGTTCTACCACTGAGCTACACCTTAAACTCCTACTTCCAGATTTTGATGACTCATCCTGAGACCTCCCTAAAAACCATGCAGAAGAATTAAGAGTGGATTCAAACTCCTGCTGTGGCCAGGTCTCTCAAGTACTAACTTCCTGTGCCATCCTACATACAGCTGTTAAAACTTTGGATGGTTTCTCTTTACAAAGGCTGTATATAATGCTTTTGTCTTCCTTCTGCTCTGATACCAGGGCTGAAAGCAACCATGTATTTCTTCTCTCCTGTAGAGGTCTCCTCACTGTCTAATTGCTTCATTTAGGTATTTGTGCCCTCGACTGTTTGATTTTTATTTGAAACTGTGATTTTGTAGTTTACTTGGCTTGTTTGGGGTGTTAGGGTGAGAGAAAAGATGTGTTTCAACTCTGTGGACAAACTAGAACTACTAAAATTGTCTTTGTATTTGTTTTCCAGATTAATATATTTTGGTGGTTATGGGTGTAGGAGACACAGTGAACTTCAAGACTGTTTTGATGTTCATGATGCATCTTGGGTAAGACTGTAATCACTGTTTACATTTTATTTTAGCATAAATGCTAATTTCTAACTTTTAGAAATAATCTAATCTTTTTAATTTTAAGAGCTACTTGGGCCAGGGATAAAGCTCAGTCATGCCAGCGTCTCCCTCCAAAGCACAAGGTCCCGAGGTTGATCCCCATACCAAAAAAAAAAAGAGCTACTAATTTTCTGTAATTGACATTATGGAAAAAATGTATTTTTCAGTCTTTTAGATTTGGATCCAGTTGGAGGAGGGCCTCTCATTTAATAACTTATACCTGCTTCTGTTAGACAGAGCACGGCTTTAGTACAACTTGGGGGAAATTTGTTTTTATTTAATCACAGTAGCTATTGCTGACATACACTTTCTTTGAGACACGTCCATCAGAATTGTTCATAGCTCAGACTGACTTCTACATAAGAATAAATGAGTTGGTATAGATATTACTTTTCCTAGTTCTTACTAATTAGAGAATAGGCCATTATTCTTATAAAAGTGTAATCTAAGTGATAACTTTTAAAACATTGATCTCAGTCTAGGCTGTGTTCAAGGATCAGGATAAGTCTAAGGTGCAAAGAAACACTAGCACAAAAACCTACCATATGGCAAGCACAATGCTAGGTATATTACATGTGTGTAACCAAAATAATTTTGTTATTATTGAATTACATCATTAAACCAGAAAAAGGAGTTTGAAAATAAATACTCAGTGCTGGCAATATTTTGCCAACTTGCTATACTTACTTATTTATGCAAGTCAAGTATATAAATTGCTACACTCTTCAGGATCCATGATCATACTTATGCCCCTAACATATTAATCCTACTGTTGGAAATGTATGCTACAAAAATCTCTGAAAGAAAGCAAAAAGTCTGTATACCCAGAGATGTTCACTACAATGTTATTTGTGATACTGAAACTCTGGAAGCCTCCAAAATGACCAAATAAAGGAACTGATAGGTAAATGAAGGCACATCACCTGGATGGATTCCATGGGCTCATTTAAATGATCCATCGAGCCTATGTGAAAAGATGGACAAACACATCAGAATATGTGAAAACAGGCTCAGTGACAGTTACATTATTTTTGCAACTATGGATCTGTATGGATAATGGCAGGAAACAAAACCAAACAGTTGTCTTACGATGAAGTACCACAAGAGATCTCGTTCTCCTTACATCTAGGAATGTTCTTACCATGGTGATAAATGGATGCCAGGAGAAAACAGAAAACATAGAATCTTACATGGGTAAGAAGATTATCGAATGGATAAAGGTCAGGTCTCATCAAGGGATGCAGACAGTCTCAGCAAACAGCTCAGTCTTGGTCCCCCAGCCTACTAGAGCCCTGGCCTCTCCACACTCTCAATCCATGACAGACTCATCTGTTCTTATTCTTACCCTCTCCATGGTCCCAAAGCTATCAACAGAGTGAAGCCTTTGAGCAGAATGGGCTGCCCTACCTGCTGACTAAGTCATCTTTAACACACAGCTCGAATACTACCCTACAGCATTGTTTCTCAACCTTGGCACTGTTATACGTGGGGCTAAATCATCTTTTCTTGTAAGAAGCTGTCTTGTGCATGGTAGGCTGTTTTGCAGCTCCCTTGGCCTCTCCTCTAGTAGTCTTTAAAAATTTTTTTTTGCAGTACCTGAGATTGAACTCAGGACCTTGTGTTTGCCAGGCAGGTGTGGTGCCACTGAGCTACATCTCCAGCGCCCACCTCTCCTCTGGTTGTGACAACCAAAACATCTCCAGATATTTCCAGATGTCATTTAAGTGCAAAATCACCAACCTTCTCCACCTTCCCCATCCAACCTGGCAGAAGGATTTTTCTCTTCTACCTCTTCATTTTTGTAGTTTCTTTATGCTTTGTAACCCTTATCATTCCATCCTGTGATTAATTCTCTCTCTCTCTCTCCTCCAAGGCAGATCTTAGTTTCCCAAAAGAGAGGTTATATGTTGAACAGCATTACATCCCCAGTGACTAGCACAGTGTGTAGCACAGAGCAAGAGGTCAAAAAATCCTATGGTGGTTAGCAGTGATTTATAGATCCCAGGAACTTTCACAGTAAATAGGCATGACCTCAACCTCAGGTTGTAACTCTTAGTTTGCTCCCAAATGGAGTAGGAACAAGAACTGGACAGTGTTTTATTTACTGGAGGGGAGGAAAAGTAAACTTTATTTCTTTTTGCTAACAAAGATATTTTTTAAAAGTTTGGACTTGTGTTGGGGATTACTTTTTATAAATTTCTAGTTTAAGATCTTAAACTGTAAAAAAATGATCTCATTACTAAGATGAATAGTAACTTTACAGTTCCACCTTCTACTAGTACATATTATCATTGTACATTTTTAATGTTAATGTATATGTATATATCACTTTGTACATGGGTGTTTTTTAAGTTCTCCATGTCGGGGCCGGGGATTTAGCTCAGTGGCACCACGCCTGCCTTGCAAGCACAAGGTCCTGAGTTGGATCTCCGGTGCCCACCCCCCCAAAAAATTCTCCATGTTTCTGCATCATTTTTGAAGGTTTTTTTTAAGTCTTCTGGAATCATTTATTTTATTTTATTTTTTTCTCGGTACCGGGGATTGAACTCTGGATTGTGGGCTTTCGAGGCAGGCGTGGTGCCACTGAGCTAAATCCCCGGCTCTCCGTTTTTGAAGTTTTAAAAGAAATATCTTTAAAATTTTGCTACTTAAAGTTTTACTAATAATTTTCAGGAATATAACTTACCACTATTTCTAAGTATTGTTACAGTGAAATCCCCCATTGCTCTTCTTCCCTAGTGCAGGTAAGCTAACGAACATGTCCTAAAGTTCCAGGAGAACAAGTAGACTTTTTTCGTTTAGATTCCAAGCCACATAAATTGCTTGATTTATTTGACTTGCTTGGCGAGTCCTATCAAAGGCAAATGATGTATTTCTTTTTTTGTTTGTTTGTTTTGTTTTTTGGGGGGGGGTTTTGGTACCGGGGATTGAACTCGGGTCCTTGCGCTTGCACAGCAGGCAGCGAAACCACTGAGCTAAATCCCTGGCCCAAGTGATGTATTTCTGACATAGAACATAAAGGTGGCATAGAGGAAAGCTAGGGTAGTTATGGAGGGCTTCAGCAATCTAGAAGACGCTAAATGCAGTGTAACTGCTAAATCTTTCCCTTCCCAACAAAGACTTTATCTCTTAGAAGACAAAGAAGAAAGTTGGCTTCAGTTTGATCTGTCAGAGCAAACTGCATGGTGAAATAGAAGAGATAGGAACTTGCTGGAGATGGAACCACCCCTCCTTATGATTACTACAGCAAGCGTTAGGTTCTGACCACCTACTTTACGCAAACGGATTGTCGAATGTAAATAATCATTCTGTCTTGTGGAATTTTAAGAGACATTCCTTTGAAAGAATCGAACAATTCTCAACACGTAAAACTGTGGTTTGCTGAAGCAGCACTTAAGGAAGAAGGGTTGCCAGGTGGAGCGCCCACTGTCCTGGGGACGGCTCTCTGCCAGGTGGTGTATGCCTCAGCTCTGTGGCTTTGGTGACACTGAGCTCAGTTTTTACAGATGTCAGTTATTTGACCAGTAAACATGTGGCAGAACTGTAACACTCACGTGGAAAGGAAAGCTTTGAGATACTTAAAAACTTTCTGTTTTAGGAAGAGCAGATATTCTGGGGATGGCATAATGACGTCCATGTATTTGACACAAAGACGCAGACTTGGTTTCAACCAGAAATTAAAGTAAGTGTTATAAATGTTGCCTTTATATTCATATATTCACTGGTACTTTTAAAACATTTAGTTTCTTGCTGTGTTGTTTACATTTTAGTATATGTGCTGCCAAAGTGAGCACATGTTATTTATATGTTAATATATGGTTTTGTAACCATGTGGAAAATATTTCTCTTTAGTACTGTTATCAGTACCATTAAAAAAATCATATGTTTTTCTCCATGTCAGATAATTAACTATACAATTCGAGGCTTCCTAATCAATTCAAGGCCACCCTGGACTACTAGTTAATCTCTCTCACTGCCCCCTTAAGTCCTTTTTTTAAACAAAGTTGATAATTTTAAATACCTATGGAGTTTTTTTTGTTTCTTGGTGGGTTTTTTTTGTGGCACTGGGCATTGAATCCAGAGCCTTCACACCAAGCTACACCCCTGGCTCATTTTTATTTTTTATTTTGAGACACTTGTCCCGGCTGGGCTCAAACTTGCAGTCCTCCTGCATTGGTCTCCCAGAGTGCTTGGATTATAGGTATCTGCCTCCATACCTGGGTATCTATGTTTTAATAAACCCTTGAAATCAGAGCTATATGCCTAATAGTGTAACAAAAATACACTGTCAATATTCATTCATTTGCTAGTGACCAAACACAAATTCAAATTGGTTTAAGCACTTTGGCATGGTTCATACAGCAAAAGAGCTGTATAGACAAGCACCTTGGGAGCCCATTTCTCAACACCATCAGAATACTTTCTGTCTTGCTGCACCTGTTTGTCCCTGCTTCTCTTTTGTGCCTGCTTCATTTCATCTAATCCAAACCACCTGGGCCATTTAGGAAGGAATAGAGCCCTAACTACACAAATAGTTCTTTGTATTGTACTCTCTGTGTTCGTATATTAGTCCTGGAAGAGGACTCTGGCTCTCCTTGGGCATGTTCCCACTCTCACAGCACCCCTGTTGCTGAGGGGGTGCCTGGCCAGTCTTGAGTCACATGCCCATCCTGGGGAGTGTGTGTGTGGGGGGTATTGCGATTGATAAAGCTCACCAGAACTGAACAGAGGGAAAGTCAAGCAGGCAAAACTAACTTTGTCTCTTAATATGATTACATGACTAAAGTTCCTTACAGTCCTATATCTGAAGTTGCTGATGGAAATGTTGGCAAGTTCTGAGTTACTGTTTGACCCTCTCTGCATGCTCTTTTTCCAGGCAGTGAATTTCAGGTTTCCAGTGCTCTTCTGTTCTCTTCACACCATTTCTAGTTTAGTACTGATCAACTGTCAGTTATTTATACTTGTCAATTGAATTTTACTTTGATCAGCATTTGCATTTTAAGAGTTGGTGTCTTTTATTAATGGAATAAAAGGGATTTTTGTTTGGTTTGGTACCGGGGATCGAACTAGGGTCCTTGAGCTTGCGAGACAGGCATTGCAACCACTGAGCTAAATCCCTGGCCCGGAATAAAAGGTTTTTACTTCAGTTAAGATAATTTCATGTCAGCAGGTAGGTGGAGAGAAATATTACTGAGGCTCAGTCTCCTGCAACTAATCCTAGATCTCTTTCTGGCCTAACCCTTTACTTCCTTAGAGAATGAGCAAGGGTCTGGAACTTCTAGGGGGATATTAATACAAGTTTTGCCTTGCCAGAAAGACTGGGAAAGAAAACTCTTACATGATTCTGTCTCACTTATTTAAATATAATAGGTAAAATCTGAATTATTTCTCACCAGGTTGACTTTTAGTGAACCTTGAAAGTTTAGGGAGCTATAATACTGGCTGCAGAAGGTAAGTTTCCTGTGCTCGTATTCTTAGCCAGTGAGGTGAATCTGTTGGGTCTTTTCAGAACTTGGATGAAACACATACACAAAGGCACCCGTCATGAGCACATGGAAATCGTGGAGATGATCCTCCCTCCCTCCCTGTTGAGCCCAGGCCCCTCTCTCAGTTGCTAAGCACATTCTCCCACATGCTGTGGGACTGAGCTTCCCCCAACCACCTTTGCTTCAAATCTTATTCATTCACCTACTTGTTATATTCTTTCTCACACCAACTAAAAACTTCTCTAAAGAAAAGATCAGCTTTATTCAGAGTATAGAGAAGCATTATTTAGGGTTAAAACATTTAGGAAGCAATAAGGCGCGGTTTGGCTTAAGCCAGCCATGCAGTTCTTCCTCTGAATTTGAGGAGTTTTGAGGGCATATTTAATTCTTTTTTTTGAGACTCTGAGATCATCTCAATTTACACTGCTCATTCCCAGTATTAACTCTGTATGTGTAGTGGTGAAGTGTTTTTAAGTTTGATTTTTAAATCACTTATATTCCAAGCTAAAATTTGTATGAAATTTTATTTTTTTAATATATCAGGCATTTAAGAAAAGCACCCTAGAAGACAGTGTGGTGTCACAGTACACTTGTAATCCCACATCCTCAGGAGATTGAGGAAGGAGGATCCTAGGTTTGAGGCCAGCCTGGGCAACTTAAGTGGAAGAAATTTAAAAAGGGATGGGGATGTACCTCAGTAGTACAGTGATTGCCAAGCATGCACAATTCCCTGAGTTCACTCCCCCGCACCAAAGGGAGAGTGAAATTCTTTAAAAAGTAAAGAAAGAATAAATTTTGTTTTTAAAGAGTAATATTTTTATATAATTATATTTTTTTAGAATGAACTTTCATATTAGGAACTTTAACTGAATTACATCAACACCTGAGTGGTGAGGTGTTTCTCATCCTGTGAGGAGGAATGTGACATCTTAGTCGTGTTCAGGTCTCTCACTGTGTTTTGATCTCTGTTTGTAGGGTGGAACTCCACCACAGCCACGCGCTGCACATTCATGTGCAGTTCTTGGAAATAAGGGTTATGTCTTTGGTGGACGTGTTCTGGTTAGTACTCTCAATGGAAATGGTATTGTTATGTTTGATACTTGTTACAAAAATGTATCCTCTGATTTTGTGGAACAATTGAATGTTCAAAAACTCTAGATATAGCACTTGGGAGGCTGAAGCAGGAGAATCACTGCAAGTTTGAGGCCTGCTTGGGCTACATAGTGAGTTCATGGCCAGCCTGAACTACATAGCAAGACCCTGTCTTAAAAACCAGCAAAACAACAGACCATATAGAAGCAGTCACAGATGATTATAAATCATATTTTAATGGGAAAATCCTTCACTTTAATGCAGGATCAGAAAAGCTTAATTTCATATCATCTGAACCTTGTTTAAACTCATTTCTTCCTTTTTCCTTTGACACATTAATTCGGGAGCTCAATGTTTATTTTATTAATGCTTAGAACTATTTCCTAGTATTTAAGCTTCAAATGTGAAGGAGAATAGAGATAGTCTTTTTTTTGATACCAGGGATTGTACTCAGGACCTTGCACTTGTGAGGCAGGTTCAGCACCACTGAGCTAAATCCTCGGCTCTGAGATAGTTTATTTTTTTTCTTGACAGTCTGTTTTTAATCTGAACTTACATTAAGGCTGGAAAAGGTGTTAACTATGGTCTAATGTGACGCACTTTTATTTTAGCAAACTCGGATGAGTGACTTGCACTATCTAAACTTAGACACCTGGGCCTGGTCTGGAAGGTAAGTTTGAAATCTAGGTTCATTTCAATCTAGAGGTTTGTGTGTGGTTATGATCCAAATTGGGATCCCTAAAAAGACTGAACTGAGATTTTTCATTCTTCAGATTATATGTCTAAAAGAATATGTGGATTTAAATAGTTTGTTCTTTGAACTGTATAAAACATGAAGTTACTAACAGTTGGAAACTGATTGTATGCAAGTCCTAGTTTTATAGTAAGCAGCCTTTGAGGATAGGTCAGAAGAAATGAAGGAGTGATTGAATGGGGTCATCTTACATGGGTAGAGAATGAAGTGAGTAAAAGTCAGATTTTATTTAGGGTTCACAGTATATATTTAACAATAGAATAAATAGAATTAGCTATCAATTTGGCCTTTTGTGCAATGACATGCAGCCAGAGCTACATATTATTCTAGAGTATAAATACCATTAAAACAAAACTATAAAAGTATCAATAAAACATAGCACATTATATTTAAAATCATGGCATTGAGTCAGGCTTGGTGACAAAAGCCTGTAATGTTGGCTACTTTGGAGGTCTCTGGCAAGTGGATCACATGTTTGGGCCCTGTCTGGGCAACCTAATGAGACCCTGTCTCTAAAATATAAAATAAAATAAAGGGCTGGGGATGTAGCTCAGTGATATAATGCCTGTGGATTCAATCCCCAGAACAATACATATAATGCATACAATATAATACAATACAGTAAAGGCATTGAGAAAGCTTTTATAAAGATTATGTAAACCCAAATTTTATAAACAAAAAGACTGACTGGTGAAACGACTTAAAAATTAAATATTTCTTGCAAGGCACAGTGGGCAGCCTGTGATCCCAGCTCCTTAGGAGACAAGCAGGAGGGTTGCAAATTTGAGGGCAGCTGGGCAACTTAATGAGACTCTGTGTCAAAATAAAAATTTAAAAAATGTCTGAGGATGTAGCTTCATGGTAGAGAACCCCTGGGTTTGACCTCCAGTACCGCAAAAATTAAAATAAACAATAAATAAATATTTCTCTATAGAAAAATGTACCACAAAAAATTTAATAGCAAATTGGAAAATGCACATTGAAAAGGTAACATTTACAATTTTTGCATGTAGGGGTACTGGGAATTTAACCCAGAGCTTTCTCACTGAGTTATAGCCCCAACCCCTTTTATTTTTTTCTTTTGAGATAGCATCTGCTGAGTTTCCCAGGCTGGTCTCAAACTTGCCATCCTCCTGCCTCAGCTTTCCCTGAGCACTAGGATTACAGGCATGTGCAAGTACACCTGTCTGTAATATCTCTAACAGAGAGGTGAGGGCAAAGATTTACACAAACTCAGAAAATCTCTAAGAAAGAGACAAAGAATTCAATGGAAAAATGGACAAAGGACATGATTAGCAGCATAAAGAAACACTAGGAGGGCCAGGGATTTAGCTCAGTGGTTCTGCCACCTGCCTCGCAAGCACAAGGTCCCGAGTTCAATCCCCGGTACCAAAAAAAAATAAAATAAAGAAACACTAGGGCCTTCCTTCTTGCCGTGCGCCCCCGACATGGTGTTCAGGCGCCTTGTGGAAGTCGGCCCGGTGGCCTACGTCTCCTTCGGACCTCAATGGAAATCTGGTCATGATTGTTGGTCATCGAACAGAACCGGGAGCTGGTGGATGGACCCTGCACTCAGGTGAGCCGCCAGTCCATGCCTTTCAAGTGCATGCAGCTCACCAACTTCATCCTCAAGTACAGTGCCCACCAGAAGTATGTCCAACAAGCTGGCAGAAGGCTGACATCAACACAAAGTGGGCAGCCACGAGCTGGGCCAAGAAGATTGAAGCCAGAGAAAGAAAAGCCAAGATGACAGACTTTGATCGTTTCAAAGTCATGAAGGCAAAGAAAATGAGGAACACGATAATCAAGAATGAAGTTGAGAAGCTGCAAAGGGCTGCTATCATAAAGCCTTCTCCCAAAAAGGCGCCTGTTGCTAAGGCTGCCATTGCAGCTGCTGCTGCTGCTGCTGCAGCTAAAGCTAAAATTCCAGCAAAGAAGGTGACTCCTGCCACCAAGAAAGCCTCGGGCCAGAAGGCACCTGCCCAGAAGGCTGCCAGTGAAAAGGCTGAGCAGAAGGGTCAGAAGGCTTCAGCCCAGAAGGCGCCAGCTCCAAAGGCATCGGGCAAGAAAGCATGAAGCTGTTAGAAAGGAATAAAGGTTCTTTTTGACACGTTAAAAAAAAAAAAAGAAAGAAACACTAGGGCCAGGGATTTAACTCAGTGGTTCCGCCCCCTGCCTCCCAAGCACAAGGTCCCAAGTTCAATCCCCGGTACAAAAAAAAAAAAAGAAAAAAAGAAACACCAGCAGGTGGCTACCAGGGTTATCTCAGTGATACAGCACTTGCCTAGCTTGTGCAGAGTCGTGACTGAACTCATCGAGACACACATACACACAAAAATTACTAATAGGAAAAAATTATTTTAAAATGTTTTCATGGATTATCAAAGAAATGGAAAAAAAGTAAGTTTTCAGTTATTTATCAGATAAAAATAATTATAATGACCAGTGTGTGCTAGGATGTAACAACACAGTTGGTAGGAGTGCAAATTGGAACTATATCCCTGGACAGTAAGTAGTCTAGCAGTATGTTTAAAATATAGAACAAAACTTTTACTTTGATTCATAATTCCTTCAAAGACATGGCAAGTGTTTGTATGTGTGTGAGAATGTGTGTGATTTAGAAGATATTATTTCAGTGAAAGAGGTTACAAGATATTATTTCAGAATAGAATATATGATCTTATATTTTTTAAAATAAATATGTTAATATATGCATTAAGGTCTTAAAAATGTTGGGCATGGTAACTCACCCTTATAATCTCAGCACTCAGAGATTGAGGTAGGAGGATAGCAAGTTCAAGCCCAGCCTGGGGAGCTTAGAGACTTAGTGAGACCTTGTCTCAAAAATGAAAGATGGGGAAAAAAAAAAAAAAAAAAATGAAAGATGGGCCGGGGATTTAGCTCAGTGGTTTCACCACCTGCTACGCAAGCACAAAGACCTGAGTTTGATCCCTGTTACCAAAAAAAAATGAAAGGTGCTGGGGCCGGGGATTTAGCTCTGTGGTTTCGCCGCCTGCCTCGCAAGTGCAAGGTCCCGAGTTCAATCTCCGGTACCAAAAAACAAAAAACAAGCAAAAAAACAAAAAAAAAAGAAAGGTGCTGGGGATGTAACTTAGTGTGAAGGCCCTGGGTTCAATCTCCAGTACTGCAAAGAGAAAAAAAAAATCTTAAAAGATATACAACAAATTAGTGTTTCTTCTTATTGCTGAGAGACAAGATTATTAGAGGATTTTCCTATTTAAAAAATATTTTTGTAACTGTTAAATGCTTCAACTGAAGGGTTTCTTATAATTGACAAAAACAATGAAGGGCCGGGGATTCCGGTGGTTCCAGTGGAATTCCAGTGGTTCTGCTGCCTGCCTCGCAAGTGGAAGGTCCCAAGTTCGATCTCCGGTACCAAAAAATTAAATAAAAAAAATAAGACAATTTCCATATTGGAAAACATAAATTACATCTTTGAAAGATGGCTTTTTGTGAAGCATTCCAGAATGTTGAAGAATGCTCCTCACCTCCTGAATTAAACTTTTTGTCTGTAACTTACGTTTATTTTTTATTTCTATATTTAAGAAGATATCTGAGTGAACACTAGAGGTTTATCCTGGATCTGGAATGGTGTGTGTACTTTTATTTTGAATTAGTATAGCTAGCATTTTCAGAGGAAGATAATGCTTTGGGAACATCTATAGGTAGACCAAAGTAGGAATAGTAACCACAAAACTTACATTATCCTTGGAGAAATTGGTTAAAAACAAAAAATTGAACATGAAACAAAAAGTTATAGACAGGAAAATAACTGCATTGAAAAACTAGGGAAGGATGTTAATTAACCAACAAGAAGACATGCATTGTGAGTTTGCAAGAAATTGACTTCTATTTTTACCCTGTGTTCTGTGGACAGGTGGAATTGATGTTATACTGAAATACTTTAAATTCATGTAAGAACTTAATGTTTTTTAAACTTTCATGTAATAGGACTAGTAATATTAACTCTTTTTTTTAGGTGTAAAAGAAGTTTTTTAAAGATCTGAGATACCAAAAAACCTTTTATTTGACTAATACAGCACCTAGGTGTTTTTTGGGGGTTTTTTCTAGTGTTTTTTTTTTGTTTTGTTTTTTGTTTTTTCTCTTCAGTACCAGGGATCAAACTCAGGACCTTGCACTTGTGAGGCAAGTGCAGTGCCACTGAGCTAAATCCCCGGCCCACCTAGGTTTTAACTTTTTTCCCTTGCTACAGGATTCCTGTTAATGGAGAAAGCCCAAAACATCGGTCGTGGCACACTTTAACACCAATAGCTGATGATAAGCTTTTCCTATTTGGTGGACTAAGTTCAGATAATATTCCATTAAGTAAGTTGATTAAAATTTAACATACAGTTATTATCTCATTCTTTTTTCTTGTATTTCATTCTTATAATGAAGTCTTACTATTTTTCTTTCTACTTTTCCTTTCATCCCCAACTATGTGTTTACATTAAGAATTAGGAAACCTCTTTGCTATTCTACCCTTGGCTGTCTATGTCCTCTAGTGTCCTAGGTATAGAGAAGAGAAAGGATGGTGAACTTAGCTGAATTAAAGCCCTTTTCCACTATCGTATTCTGTGATTCTATGTCCTGCTAATTTATGATTCAGTCTCATGAAGGAAAATACTCAGCAGAATTTTGTAACTCCTGTCACTGCTGGTCCCAATAGATCTGGGTTTTGTAATGCAGTGTTTTGTTCAGTAATAAAAAAATTGTGGCATCTTGACCCGGGATTTAGCTCAGTTGTGCTGCTGCCTGCCTCGCAAGCACAAGGTCCAGAGTTCGATCCCCGGTACAAAAAAAAAAATTGTGGCAACGGAGTAGACAAAAGACCAAGAAAATCCACTTCCTGGTTTGACATGTGAGATGTCGTTTATTATCTTAACCCAGAAGTTTTCTTTTCTTTTTTATTCATTAAGTTTATTGGTACCTTTTAGGTATACAATATGATGACATTCATCATTGGGAATTTGTACCTGTATATGATAAATCTTGGTTCTTATTTTTCCCCATTTCCCTGCCCTCCTTTCAACCCCACCGCCCCTCCCTATTTATAAAGACTTTGTTTCTGTTTTTCCCTTCTTTTCTCATATTTTTTTCTTTCCCTTCTTTCCTTTCCCTTGTCCCCCCACTTCCCCTTCTCTTCCCCTTTCAATCTTTTCTTCCTATTTCACATTATCTATTATACATTTTGATCCTCATTTACACTTTCACACCAGAGAAATTTTTCAATATTTACACACGTGTCCTATTTATTTCACTTAAGAGTATGGGCTCAATGTGCATCCATAACCCAGAAGTTTTCTATGGCTAGACATGTTTTATTGAAAAACCTTATATGCTATTGAAACTATTCTGTTTAACAACCATTTGCTGAAATCCGAATCTGAAACAACCATTTGCTATTCAACATAAGTTTATTTAGCATCACTGGTATGTTTGGCTGTCTGCTGATTGCAAACCCCAGAAGCTAGTCAGAGAAAAAGTAATTCCTAGTAAGGGATGTTAGTTGTTCTTGTAGATTATTATACTTCTCTAATTTGTGATTTTTTTAATTAAAAGAGATTTGGAATCACACTAAAAATTGATATCTTTATTTTTCACTAAAGGTTAATAGCATAACTTTAAGAGATCTACTGTTCATAATTCCTATTTTCCACTGCCTGCTGTGTAAAGCACAAGGACTGGAGTTCAATCCCCAGTACCAAAAAAAAAAAGAGTCATAATTCCTATTTTCTATTTTTGATCATTGGCCTTTGGGAAATTAGATGTCCTAATTTTTAGTATTCCACTCAGTTTCCTCCTTCACAGATTCAGTTTAAGATTTGGTCATATGGATACCATAAGCTTGTTTTTAATTTTGTTGACTGTGATAATGGCATTGTGATTATTTTAAAAGGGTCCATTTTTTAAGCAATGAATACTGAAGTATGTATGGGGAAAATGATAGGGAATCTAGGATTTGATTTAGTAATTCAAAAATAGAACATAAAGAGATAAATGGAACACATGTGACAAAATATTTTTACTTTTTCATTTTGGGGATTAAACCTAGGGCCTTGCATGTGCTAAGTATATTCTCTAACACTGAGCTATATTCCAGCCCCAAACCTTGCTATTTATTGAACCTGGGATATGTGAATCAATCTACTTTTCTATGTATGTGTGAAAACATTTATGAAAAACTGTACACACACAAAAAAGATAATTATATAAATGTAACATAATAAATTTGGAAAACATTAACATTGTATCCCAAAGACCTAATCTTAATTTCTGAACTGCCTTAATATTGCAGGTGATGGTTGGATTCATAATGTCATAACAAATTGTTGGAAACAACTCATACATTTACCTAACACAAGACCCAGGTAAGTTTAGAAGTTGACAGAACAAAATAGTTAAGAATTTTTAAAATATTAAGATACAGCTCTAAATTTATAGTGTTTGCCATTGAAATCATAAAACTATCCAGATGGATATCTTTCACATGAGCTTTATGTCACCTAAATAATGTAATTATAAAAGTTAAATAAATTTTATGTAATTGTTAGAAATGATCTAGTTTTTACCCATATTTGCCTATTTTAAAATAGTTATTTTAGATAAATTCATAATCTTGCCTGATAAATATGAAAAGGATAAGATAATTTAAAACATCTCATAACATTAAGCTTTAAAAATTGTAATATTTTAATAAGTAGACAAGAATAATTTGGTTTCAATAGTAGTTGTTTTGTTTTTAGAAGAACTTTAAACTAATTTAATGAGAAAATTTGCTTCTATGTTGATCTAGTAGATGGAAAATTATTTTCATTTGTTAATAGTCTGATGCATTCATTAATGTGAATTTTTCAAAAAAGAATATAAGTTCATTATTTGTAGTACATTATAGGGCAAAAATTATAGAAATAGTATACTATCATTAGACAAGAAAATAACACAAAAGTATGATAATTCTTAATTTTTCACGTTCCATTGAATAGTATAATAAAAGTATCTTCATACGAAATTCAGATTCAGCATATAATAATCATGATAGTAACATTCTTTTTCATGCCATAGATTTTCGATATTTTTACTACAGATTAAATACTAGTGTGAAGTCAATTTAATGATCTATATTTTTTATTTAATAAATGATGAATAACTTAGAAAAAAGCTCTGAAAGTATATTTACTTTGGTGTGTCTGTATCTATTAATATGTACTATATATTTAAAGTCTATCATAATTACATATGTGATTCTTATATTTTCATGTATAAAAATTCATCAGCATATATTATTCTGGCTCTTGAAACATATTTGCTTAATTTAAGAGTCTACTATTAAGATGTGAGAGGCCAGAGTTCTAGTCCTTGGTCAGCTACCACTTAGCTTTTTTACTTTAAAGTCACTTAAAGAAACTGAGCATCAATTTCCTTGGCTGTGAAACGAGGGATTTGGACTAGACTGTCTTTCTTCCAGTTTTTTGATGTTGTGAATGTGTTACAGACCAAAATGGTAATAAAAATGTTTAATTTTAAATTGCTCTTATTTTTATGTTTCAACTCTTAATGAATGACTAGAGCGACACAATTATTATCAATATGCTAGTTAGAACTAGAGCTGTGTAAAGAGATTTCTTGTGATTCAGCTGATGTGTCATGTAAATGCTATGCTTTATTAGAATGTTTAGGTGCTAAGTTTAGAGCAGCTGTGAGAGGACAGAAACTATCAGTCTGTAGAAAAAACAGCAGGTTGCAAGCTAGATGTCACCAAACTCAAGGCAGGAAAGTCTTTCCAGTGCTCTTCGATGATGAAATCCAGGCCAGAGTTTTCCTAAGGCAGATAAAACAGAGACAGAACTATCATCAGGTATCAGGTGAGGAGGAGAACAGGTGGGATACAGTTGAGTGTAAGGAGAATGTATATATTTGTGTGTGTGTATATATATATCTTTTTTTTTTTTTTGGTACTGGGGATCGAACTTGGGTCCTTGTGCTTGCAAGGCAGGCACCAGAACCACTGAGCTAAATCCCCGGCTATTTGTGTATATATTTTTTTTAACAAAAGTGACAATTTACCTAACGTTTGGGTTCATTTGGTGCAAAAATTTCCAAGTTACAATTTGAAATGTAAGCTGCCCAATTCTCTGCTTAGAAATCAAAGGTGGGGTTTCTCAACTTTGGCACTGTTGACATTTTGAACCAGATAACTCTTGTTAGGGGTGTCCTAGCCACACCCTTGACCTTTACCCACCAGATGTGATTAGTACTGTTTTCCCTCTTCTCACATGTGACAACCGAAAATGTTTACTGATATTGCCACATGCCCCTTTGGAGGACCGATCTCTCCTGGTTGAGAAACAGTTCTGCAGTGTGGTTCTGCCTTCTCCAGGCCTCATCTCAGTTAAACTCTGTGTGTTGCAAACCACCTATAAAGCCATTATCTGACCACCTTTATAGCAGCCGTGAGCAAGGACCCTTTCTGTGTGTCCGTGAGAGGTGTCTGGTCAAGCATCAGCACAGAGAGATGCAAGTTCTGCTGGATGCCATGAGGACTGCCAGGGCTATCCATGGCCCTCTCTCCTGAAAATTAATCTGTCCCTGCCCATATGTGGGGACATTCATTCCAGTCAGTCTCCTTGATGGGTTCTTGCTAAAATTGGATGTACAGCACTGTTTTACTTTCTAACACACGATTTGGAGAACTGGGCAGAGTTTCCCAAGCAACATATCTAGTGACTCAGCTCCGTCCTGGGTCACAAGCACCTTTGTCACTGAATATGTGCATGGTTGTTTGAAAAAAGTACTTAGTTTAACAAATTATGTGTACTTCCACTGTTTGAATTTATGGAATTTAAGTAAAAGAGATTAATGTACTAAAACTCGGTTGTGCAGTAATATAATAAATAATAATCTATAATTGTTTGGGGCATCTGCTGCTTCAGCAATTTGGCCTATTAAGAAAAGTAATTGTTGTGCTCGCTTCGGCAGCACAAACACTAAAAAAAGAAAAGTAATTGCAAGCCAGGTGTAGTGGCATTATCTGGAAGGCTTAGGCAGGGGGATTGCAAGTTTGAGACCAACCTGGGCAATTTAGCATCCTAGTGAAACCCTGTCTCAAAATAAAAAATAAATAAGGGCTAGGGATGTAGCTTAGTCAAAGGCCTTGGGTTCAACCCGCAGTACCAGAAAGAAAAAAAGAAAGGAAGAAAAATATTTACACAAAAAAAATAAATAACTTTGAGTAAAGTCAGTAACTTTGTAAAAATTCTTAATTTATAAAATTGGGGCATTTATACATACCTGTTTCAGAGAGTTAGAGCCTCTGGAAATATTGAACTTTATAAAACTATAAAATTATATTTGGTAAATGTGAAATAGAGAATGCATATGAGATTTCAGACCATTGCCAAAAATATTAGTTGCTCTACTCCTTTATGATATAATTTGTATATTTAATCACTGAATAAATTATATTTGTATTTTGTGTTCGATTTCGCAAATCAAAAGATTTTGAGCATCTGCTGGGTACAGAATACCATATTGGGCATATTTAAATAAAATCAGAATACCCAAGTTCCAGTGATGTGCTGGGATACGATTACAACCACTCTGGGGCAGGGGTAGAGGGTGTGTTTAGTGTTTGTTGATTTTTGAGGTGCAAATCCTCCCACCATGGCTGATTTCTCATTACCAGCCGGATGTCACTGAACCTGAGCCAGGTGGTGATAGCCACAGCCATCTTCACTTAGCCAGTGAGTTGGCCCCAGCACACCATTATGCCAATTTCTGACCTCATGGACTTCATAGGGTTTTTTTTAGAGAGCTAGAAGTCACACATTAGATAATTAAGCTAGTAGACAGAGCAGTTAGTCTTTCAGTGTAAGTCAGAAGAGTATAAAATGAGCTGAACATAGATTGCAGCCGAACCAGTTTGGATGGGTTATTTGGAACACTTAGTGGGGGTTGAGATTGTATTTAAGGCTTAGAAAGAATGACTTTTCTAAGCATAAGGAAAAAGTGAACAAAAGCCTAGAGGTATCTATAATCCCCCCCCACCTTTTTTTAGGTTAAGCAAGGAAGTAGAGTTGTCTGAAATCGAAGATTCATTTAGAGAGAGATAAGAATTAAGATTTGTGAGAAAAAGAAATAGCAGTTGATCACAAATATTAGGCTAGAAAAACCAGCTGCTGGTTCTAATCAGGAAATTTCCATAGTAACTATAGTTTACTACAATTTATGATGTATTTCAAAATAACTAGAAGAATCCAAAAGTTCCTAACACAGAAATGATAAATATTTGAGGAGATGAAAATGCTATTACCCTGATATGACCATTATACATTGTATACATGTATTAAATTATCACAGGTAGCTGAGGATTTAGCTCAGTAGTTCCGCCGCCTGCCTCGCAAGTGCAAATTTCCAAGTTTGATCCCCAGTACCAAGAAAAAGAAATTATCACAGGTACCCCATGAATATGTACAAACATTGTGTGTCAGGCCGGGGATTTAGCTCAGTGGTTCCACTCCCTGCCTCGCAAGCGCAAGGTCCCAAGTTCAATCCCCGTTACCAAAAAAAAAAACAAACAAAAAAAAACCCCCAAAACATTGTGTGTCAATTAAAATTTTCAAATGACTAAAAGAGCAAAAAATATGAAAGTATTATTTATTAGCTGTATGTAGGTAGGGAAGATTAAAGACAAAATTCTAGGAACATATTATGGTATTGTGTACCCAGGGAGCCCGGTGGTCTGACAGCAGAAATGCAGAGAGTGCAGCAGTGGCTAAGCTGCAGGGTGAGCGCCCAGGAGCCTGAGGGAGGCCCAGGTGGAGAGCACGCACGTGATTAGACCTCCTGGGAGAGCTGGGGAAAGCTTGTGCACACAGGCGGGGTCACTTCCTTTGTAATTTACTGTATTTCACGGGTAATAAGTATGAGATGATGGGATTAGAAGTATTAGAAGTATTAGATGAAGGGGTCAGGTGATATAAGCTATTAGGCATCATCTCCTTAACTGAAATGAAATGATTCAGTGAACTCTAGTGGAATCTTTAAAATACAGCCCCTTTGCCGGACATGGTCGCGCAGTTTGTAATCCAGCACTCGGGAGGCTGAGGCAGGAGGATTGCCATGACTACTAGGCCAGCCTGAACTACATAGCAAGACCTTATCTCAAATAAATGGATAGACAGATAGATAATCCTTTGAGGATATGTCAGAGGTTCAGGTTCAATCATGTCTCTTTTGAAATAGATTAAATTTTAGAGTGTACAATTTACAATTGATTTATATGTAATACCAGTTTCTTCCTTGATAATATTTCACTTTGTTTATAATTTTCAATTGTAGATTATGGCACACAGCCTGTTTGGGAAAAGAAAATGAAATAATGGTATTTGGTGGGAGCAAAGATGACTTACTTTCCTTTGACACAGTAAGAAAATCTTTTATCTAAATATTTCCTCTGTGTAATTATGTTATTCAAACTAAACAGCTACTCAACAAAACTGTTGCTATTCTAACATTGCAAAATATGGAAGGGCATGAAATGTTCCGTTGTAGAATGATTAATCTTCATAATGAGTGGTTTTTGGGAAGCCTTTCAGAATTTTAAAATTTAAAAATAAAAATAGAAAAAACATGAATAAATAAAATTTTTTTTAAAATAGAGCTGGGTATGGTGGCATATGTCTGTAATCCCAGCACTCTGGGAGGCTGAAGCAAGAGAATTCCTTTTTTTCTTTCAATTTTGAATTTTTATTAGTACGTTTGCAGTACATAATGATTACAGTACATTCATTGTGGGGAGTTGGTACGCACGACACATCTTGATTCTTTTTTATCCCCTTTCTCTCCCTTTCATCCCTCTGAGAATTCCAAGTTTGAACCCAGCCTGGGCAATTTAGCAACTTATTGATACCCTATCTCAAAATAAGAAAAAGTGGTGGGGATGTAGCTCAAGTGTGAAGGGCCTGGGTTCAATCCCTAGTACTGCAAGCAAGCAAGCAGAGAAAGGAAGGAAAGAAGGAAAGAAGGAAGGAAGGAAAAAGAAAAGAAAATGAAACAGGATTTCATTAGGCAGATTATTTAAAATGACCCTTTAAAGGATGACTCTTTCCTTTGAGCTTTGTCAAACTGTGTTTTTATAATTTTATTGGATTAAAACATTTTTATATCATATTTGATACATAAAAAGAATATAATATACGCACACACACTAAGCATAATAACCCACAAAATTTGCTAATTTAAGCCTGGTGTGGTGCCACACACCTGTAATCCCAACACTCAGGAGGCTGAGGCGGTAGTATTACTGTGAGTTGGAGGACTACACAGTGCATTCAAGGCCAGTCTGGACCACATAGGAAGACCCTGAGTCAAAAAATTGTTTTGCTAGGCCAGGGATTTAGCTCAGTGGTTCCAGTGCCTGCCTTGCAAATGCAAGGTCCCGAGTTTAATCCCTGGTACCAAAAAAAAAAAAATTGTTTTACTAATTTAAGAACTAAGATACTATCAGGCTGGGAATGTAGCTCAGTGATGCCTTGCCTGCCTGGCAAGTGCAAGGTCCTGAGTTCGATCCCCAGTACGGGGGGAAAGAAAAATAACTAAGATACTATCAAAACTGTCTTAGTTACTTTTCTTGTTGTTGAGACAAAAGACCCAATACCGAAAGTTAAAGGATGAAATGTTTTTTGTAGCTCAGTTTGCAGATGTTTTAGTCCATAGTTGGCTGGCTCCATGGCAGTGGGGCATGGCAGAGGAGAAACAGTCCATGGCGGGCAAAAGGCAGGAAAGCAGCAAAGTAGCAAGCAGCAGTCAGTTAGTGAAGGCAACAGCCCTCTTTCTGTCCCTCATAGTCTATCCAGGCTATATACCCTCAGGGCGGGTAGCACTCACACTCAGGGTGGGCCTTCCCATTGTCCACACTCAGAATTATGCCAAACCAATCAGTAGACTAATTTAGTTAGCACATATCCTTAACCCCAGCATCACACACTCCAAATCCAGCCACCTCTGAAAAATCTTTACCTATGCCTGCATGAGGTTTTGGGGAGACATCTAGAGACAAATCATAACAAATATTGTTGAAGCTGCCTTTTTTTCCTTCTGAATCTCACCCATAACTTCTCCTTTCAGGAGAAAGTTATTTTGTTAACACACTTAAAGTATATATATTTTTTATTTTATGAATCTGTGCATATTGATTAGGTTAAAAATTTGGTCCCTGAAGTTTGGTATGTACGTGCCCAGAGTTTGTAGCTGGCAGGCACATGTGTGTATGTGTGGGGTGTGTACACTTGTATGTGTCCTTTCATGTGTGTGTTACCAGCTGGAGAGAAATGTATTTGCTGCTTTACATAATTTCTTTTACATTTATAAAATAAAAACAGTTCAGTGTTTAATGTACTGTTATTTTCATCAAAATTCCTGATAAGGTTTTTTTTATGTTGATTAGGGTCACTGTAATGATTTACTGATCTTTCAAACACAGCCTTACTCACTACTCAGGTACGCAAATCTATTTTTCTTACATGTATACACTATGAGTATTGATAATTTATTTCTTCCTCATTTTGGGGAAGAGTTATAATCTTTCTCAGGTAGTTTATGACTTGAAGTCAAGAAAATGTTTACATCTTCCTAAGAATATACTTACTCATTTATAATGAATCATATACCAATGTGACTTTTTAAAATTAAAATATACAATACAGTCACATTTTTGTATTGTTTGTAAAATTGCTTTTAATATATATGGCAATATTAAACATACTCCATTTCCTTAATTCTACTTTTTTTTCTTTATGTGGTGCTGGGGATCAAACTCAAGACCTTGCGCTTGTGAGGCAGGAGACAGAACCACTGAGCTAAACCTCCAGCCCCATTTCCTTAATTCTAAGCTGAACATTTTAATATTTTAAGCCTTAGAAATCAGATTGTATCTACTAATATGTTATTTACGTATTTTCTATAAATACAGCACATATAGGCATTGAGTATAAAGTAATCTTTTTAATTTCAAATCTGTGGGTGACTTAGTGTCCTGACTCGTGGGGCCACGCTCACGTGGTTCTGTGTGAGGGGAGGGTGGTGGCAGAAGTCCCGTGACTGCATTTGTGCCTGTGGGAGAAAGAAGCGAGGGTCTGAGGGAAGCAGCCCTGAACAGGTGTGGGTATTTTGTGCAGAGCGAATAACGAATAACGGTAAAGGCCTAGGAGGCACGGGAGGAGCGGGAGAGAGAAGGAGCCGCGCTTCTAGGCTGAGGTGGGGCTCTGCAAACCGGCCTTCCCGAGGCCTCGCGCTGCTGCCTCCGTACGTGGTCTTCCGCACTTGTCTCCTGTTGGAACCTCTTAGGGAGCTTCAGAAAACTGATGTGTACGTTCTGCCCCTGCGGTCCCTGGCCAGAACTTTGAAAACCACTGCTCTCATGATTTGCAGTAACTGCCCCGGAGTGGATTGGAGCTCTTCACGGGCCGGGATGAGGAGCTGTTTGAGTGTCCCCGTGAGGAGGCGCCTGCCATGAAGCGAGGCAGTGTGGCCCAGGGAGGGGTGGTGTTTGTTTAAATGCTGATGGGAAGAAGCCAGAAGAAGCAAGTTGTTGGAAATAAAAGACAAGGGAGGGAAAACTGGCAGTGTTGAGAAGATTTTCGCAGTCGAATTAGTCCTTGACTGGGAGAATACTTTTAAAGCAGTGGAGAGAGACGGGAGTGTGGATGTGAAGACAGAAAAATGTATAGGTTTGGGACAGCACAGTGAGAAAGTTTTAGATCAGCGAGGCCATCTCATAAGAAACGGGACGCGCGGGCACTGCAGACTCAGCTGTGAGGCCCGAGGGCTGCGACAGGCACAGGGACAGGGTGAGGGACAGGGTGAGGGACGCGCTGAGGGCCAGTCTGGGCCGGAAGGTGATGGAGCGTCCGCAGCGGGGCGGCGGGGCAGGAGATTCACAGCCGGGACAGCCTGGGTGGGAAAATGAGGCGCAGCTGCACGTGTGGGGGCGGAAGGCAAAGGTGGCGGTGAGCACCCGAAGGAGGGTAAAAGCCTGCTGTCCAGGAGAGAGTTTAGGGGGTGAGTGAGGGCACAGGGTGCCTGGGGGCTGGGCGGGGAGGGGCGAAGGCCACGCCTGACTGAGGCCAGGGGAGTGGGGAGAGCTCTCCTCCGCGAGGCTGGCGCAGGGCGCTGCGCTGCGGGAGATTTGGGTAAGAGCTGGGACAGAAGGCAGAGGAGGCAGAGGCGTTGGAAAGCAGCGAGGGCCGGTTCGGGAGGGAGGGAGGAAGGATGAACATGTGGGGAAGGCCAGAGCACCTGAGCAGCTCGGCGGGAGGGGCTGGACCGGGAGCCCTCGGCCCGGCCTCCTCGTCCCGACCCGCGGTCCTGCTGAGAACGCGCTTCGTGCCGAGCGCGGAACAGGCGGTCGCGTCCCTGCGAAGCGCACTCGGCCCAGCCCGCGCAGTCATTTCGGACTGAAGTCAGCAGGCGTTGCCACTGGGAGAAAAACATGAACAGGAAATATCCTCCCTCCTTAACGTGTGTGGTGCGTGGACGTAAAGATGTGTATGTGTGTATTATTATCTAAAGAGACAGTTCTGTTCTGTATTCCGGCTTCAAAAAATGAGATCTATTTACTGAGAAATTCATACAATATGGGAAGCATATGGTTCCCACCATATGCTTCTGTGCCACCGAGTCTCCCTGCCAGGAGTCCCCAGCTTCTGTGACTGCCTGCAAGGAGTCTCTGTCCAGAGGAGCAAGCTCCTGGCAGCGGCAATAGCGAGACAGAGCGAATGCAACCTGAAAATTAAAGAAAAACACCCGTGACCCATCACCCACAGTGATAAGATTTGGGGTGTATTTTTCCAGACTTTAACTTCTTTAAAATCACGTTGATGATGATATGAAGTGATGAGAGTGGATTTAACCGCTCTGAGAGGCCCCTGGAAGCTCGAGCAAGAGCAGCACACATGGGTTTGCGTGTACAGGCTCAAACTACACACTTTTATAACCTACTTTTTTTTTTTTTTTTGGTACCGGGGATCGAACTCGCTTGCGCAGTTCTCGTCCTTGCGCTTGCGCAGCAGGCAGCGAAACCACTGAGCTAAATCCCCGGCCCTTATAACCTACTTTTAAAACCTGTGTCAATAATCATTTGGTTCATGGCCCTGTGTATGTATTTTTAATGGCAATACAAGGTTCTGTCTCATGAAAGTGTAATTTACTAGACTAATGGTACATATTTAGGATACCTTCAGTTTGGGGCTGCTATAAAAATTAGGCACGAGGGGCCGGAGATTTAGCTCAGTGGTTCCACCACTTGCCTTGCAAGCGCAAGGACCCGAGTTCGATCTCCAGTACCCCCCCCCCCAAATTAGGCACAAATTCTTGCATATTCTTTTTTATTCAGTGGGAAACAATTCACAAGGGCAGGGAGGGTCCCAATGTGCTCAGTTCCACACTTGCACTCACACTCGTGTGCAGGCCCTCTCAAGAGGTGCTCTGAGAATGATACAAAAAAATCAATGAAGCCAAGAGTTGGTTCTTCACAAGAATCAACAAAATTGACAAACCCTTAGCCAACCTTATCAGAAAAAGTCAGGAAAAGGCCCAAATCCATGCAATTAGGAATGAAAAGGGTGAAATTACAACAGACCCAGCAGAAATCCAGAGGATCAT